CCCCAAAACCCCAAAACCCCAAAACCCCTTAGATAATATCATTTATTGAAACTAAATTAATGCACAAACGGTCACGAGTGAACTACAAAAACACCAGGACAAGTAGCAAGTAGGTTAAAATAGAATGTTCATCAACTCCATAGACAAAGCCCAACCCCAGAGTATATTTCAGGACAAAAATTACATGTCAATCTATGTCTCACAAAGTATGGGTATCCTTAATGTTTATAGCCATATTCCCAAAGACCTCATCAGAGGGATTGTGAACAAAAGACAGGTACTTGTACTGATCCAAGTCTAGTTGAAAATCAAGCCCAGAATACCTAGGTTGTTCAGTCAAAACCCGATGATGAAGGAGTTGTCTTAATCTCATCCATGAACATCCGACAAACTAGTTTATCTCCTACAGTCCTGGTGAATGACATTAACTATCTCCTTAAATAAGAATGCAAGATCTGTGAAGAGAGATGCCTACAGAGAGTATTTGGCACCATTCTGACTGTATAGGGATGTAGAAGTCTTCTCAATACCAACTTCACCAAGGTTTACTTCTCAGATGCATAAGACCTTTACTGCATTCCAGTCGTCTAACCGTATGTCTATGTTCAAAGTCTAGATCCTGAAACGAGAAATAAGGCCAAAATAGGGATTTTCAGGCTTAAGAAAAGTCTCAAGCCTCTGACTCCGATCACGCTTAATACTAATTTTGAGCCAGAGACTCAACTGAATGCTCAAAACTTTTCTGAATTTTTGAAAGTAAAGCGGTCAAAAATTTGCCAAAAACCTGTTTTTAATCGCATCAGAGAGTTTTCGCCAGTAAGTCTGAGCCTAATATCCAAGGTAGTTGTGAAGCCAAAGAAGGCAGGTCCAGTAAAGCTAGTTGTCAATAAAAAGAGGAGGATGGACCATCTCTCACCTGTAATGCTGTTGTTAATAATTCTAAGGACCAGAAGCCGCAGACCCTTCTGAACTCATCAACTGAATACAGTGGTATGGACAAAGAATACGATGGGATTTATCTAGGAAGCCAGAATGAGTCCGACAGCGGTACTTTGGGATAATTTTTACCAAAATTTAGTCAGGAAAATCAGAATGAAGCCTATTGACAAACAAGACTCCTCCTCACCAGTCAAGCACTTAAGAATGGAATCCCGCTGTCAGCTTGGGCACAACAAGGGAACTCAGGTGTTAGAGAAGCGGCTGCCCAGAGAGTATAGGAAACAAGTCTCCAAGTTTAGCACCCAGAGTAACAATGACACATTTGAGCCCTACAAAATGGTCAGGAGGTTTGACACTGACCTTAGCCATCTGTTTGTAGGGCAGAATCCCGTCCCTAACGCAGATTTGTTATAAATATTCCCAAATGGATTCACACAGAAGGGGTTTTGGGGTTTTGGGGTTTTGGGGTTTTGGGG